ATAATTTATATCCTACTTTTACATCAAATCAATTTTAATTATTTTATTTTAAATATTATTTTAATACATTCTTAAAATCCCACTACCAACTAATCATACCACATTTTTCAAAATTAACTCTAGTTAACAAAAATATCTCATTTTGGACGAATTATTTTGTAAACAAGCGAACCCTAAGCATGCACCTATAGTGAGTCACTTATATTTCGTAGATGATTCCATTCTTTTCTGTAAGACAGTTATTGATCATGCTCTCTTGATTCGTGACATCCTTGCTCACTATGGCCTTGATTCTAGTCAAGCTGTAACTTTGTTGAAGAAACTCAGTTACATATCTGTAGAATGCTTTCTGGAATCAACATGGTCAAATCTTCTAAATATTTGGGCTTACCATTAAGAATTGGGAGATCTAAAAAAGACAAGTTTCAGTTTGTGAGTGATTGTGTGAAAAAGAAAATCATGAGTTGGAAAAGCAGATTTTTGAGTGAGTCAGGGAGAGAGATTTTAGTTAAGTATGAGTTGAGTGTTCTTCCTACTTATGTAATGTCTTGCTTTAGAATACCCATTTCTTTAATCAATCAGATTTGTAGAGACATAGCTATTTTTTTGGTGTGGGAAAAAATGAGCGGGTGGGGGGGAGGGGAAGATTAGGATGCACTGGGTTGAGTGGGGAAAATGAGCTAAGTCTAAGATGAAGGGGGTTTGGGTTTTAGAGATCTTAGGGCCTTTAATGAATCTCTCCTTGTTAAACAACCGTGGAGAATTCAAACCTTGCCAAATCTGTTAGTAAGTAGAGTGTTAAAGGGAAAATACTTCTGGAACATGAGCTTGTTTGAAGTGAAAGCCAAGAATTGTTATTCTTGCTTTAGAAAAGTTGGCTCAGTGCTAGGAGTTCTTTTAGTCTAGGGGCTAGATTTGAAGTGGGAATGGATTTTGTATTAATGTGTGGGATTCTCCTTGGATCCCAAATAACTCTTCTTTCAAACCAAAATGTTGTTTATGGGGGAATAAAACTAGGATTCAAAAGGTGAGTGTTCTGATTAAGAGTGGGGGTATGAAGTGGGATAGGGAGCTAATCCTCCAAAACTTTGATCCTTTAGATGTTGTCTCAATTTTAAGAATTCACTTTTCCAATCATAGAAAAAATGACAAACTAATTTGGCACTGGGGGTAAGAAAAGAGTGTTCACAACAAAGTCAGTGTACCAAACGATTCTAAAGGCTAAAGGCAAACCCATTGCCCAAGCTTCTACCAGTGGGACTACATGTTGGTGGAAGAAGATGTGGATGACAACCTGGAAATTGCATATCAAACCTAAGATCAAGTATTTCATCTGGAGAAGCTGGCATGGTTTCATTGGGGGAATTGAGAATTTGGTCAAAAATGGGTTAGAGGTAGATATAGTTTGTAAGGTTTATGGTCAGGAAGCTGAGGATCTAAACCATTTGTTGTTCTCTTGTTCAAGAGCTAAAATATGTTGGAAGCTGAGTGGGGTAGACTGGAACTTAATGCATCATAAGAAAATGGATTTCCAAAGATGGTAGATGGACATATGTTCAAAAGGAATGTCTTATAACTTGAAGGAGAGGCTTACTCTATATGCATATCTTATGTAGAATTTATGGAAGGCCAGAAATAAGTGGGTATTTAAATGGGATTGGTTCAATGATAAGGAAGTAGTGGAGAGAGCACATTCAGAATGGTTAGAGTGGAAAACATTGAAGTTGCACAATGGAAGAGAGCTCAATTCAGTTGAAGTCCCAAAGAGAGTAGGTAGGTCTTGGTTGACCATCACTGCTCATTCATCTGAAGAAAGAGACATTGTTGTAGAGTGTACAGACAGTAAAATCAATTAGGAAGGACTTATAGCAGAATCAAAATGTGCAACAGAGACAACTTTGCTAGCTGTCAAGTGGAGTCTGATGAAGTTCAAAGATCTCATGTGGAAATCCTGCATATGCTACCTGAAAAATGTTGAGGCTGTCAAAGCTTTGAACTGTACTGCTACTTTAATGTTGCTTATGTGTCTCTTGTAGAGGATATTTTGGAACTTTTTTATGGCTTGTAATATTGTTGCTTGTTTAGTTTTTTAGCTTGGTTTGTTGTGGTTTGACCTTGTTGGTCTTTGAGAGGAAAAGCTTACTCTTTCTCGTGGCTCTTGGGTAGTACTGTTTGGTTATCCAGGTGTCTGTAATCATTTGATTACTCGATGTACTAGTACTTTTTGTTTGAGTTATGAATTTGTTTGTTTGCATTGGAAAAAAAAGCCTAACAAATGACGAGTCGATTCAAACACACAAACGACTCGTTGCTCTCAACATAATAGCAACTGTCATCAAATGTATCCATGTCTAAACCTCCACCATGAATTGTTGAAAGTGCATGAACACATGTATTCATGTGTGATTTTACACCATATTTATATATTATCTAGAGCTTATTCATTGAATTATTGGTGTATAAATTGCATTATTGTGCTTTTATTCTATTCTTGTTGGAAAGGTATTACACGTGCTTGTTTTGTAGATATTTTCACATATTTGTAGAGCTTGTAGCTATTGGAGGCGCATGGTGAGTACCTAAGACCTCGGGATGATCAAAGATTGATGCACGGATGAAAAAATGGAAGAAACGAGTGAAACGAGCAAAAATAAGAGTGCAGATTTGTGACATGGGCAGTGACACGGGCACCATGCCCGTGTCAGAGGCCGTGTCACCTCAACAGAGAGAATTCGAAGCCCAGGGACCTAACACGGTCAGCGATACGGACGGAGACACGGGCAGACTGACCGTGTCGCACGCACAGGCTGTTTTTTATATCTTATCTATTTTGAAAAGGAGAAGGGTTTTGCACATCATAAAAGGCATATTTACCCTATTTTGAGAGAGGAAGAACGTGGGATACACAAAGAGGAGCACTAGAACACACAAGAGAAGCAATTGGGAAGCAAAAGAAGATTGAAAGATCGACGAGATTCCTAGTTTTTATTTCTTCTTTCCTTTTGAACTTTTATTGATCATGTTGATAATATGTCTATGTATTTGAATTCGAACATGAGTGGCTAGTTTATTTGATTCTAAGACTTGGTAGTAGATTAATATGTTGGGATTTTGAATGACTTATTACAATTGATTGTTTTCTTTTGAACCCTATTCAAATATTTTGTTCTTATTTCATGTTTAGCAATTGGCCAATGTTTTTACATGTTTGACAATATTGTTCATAATTCGAGAGATGAGTTCAATGTTAGGTCTTTAATATTTGACACAATTTACTTGCTTGAATCGAGAGATTAGTAGGTCGTTGTGAGGATATTAGATCTTTTAATTTATTTGGAGTTGAATTGCATGTGTTGAGTGGAGACGCTAATATATGTGATTTAATCTACGGTTTTATCGATTTCGAGAGAGACGATAAGCTAAATTTGTGATCATCTTATAGGGTAGATAAAAAAAACATTTAGTTGTGATATTTTTGAAGGAACCCAACTGTTAATTGAAACCAAAGTCTTGGAATCTATTATTCCCATATACTCTCTGACGTGTTTTTCTAACTAGTTCTTTATTTTTGCTTTATTTTCTTTGATTATATTTTTTTTAGTGTAGTTAATCTGTCTCATATTCGGTCGTCAAAATAAAGTTGACACTATCATAATCTGGTACTTGATATATTAGTTATTTGGTCTCTTGGGATACGACCTTGCTTGCCAGATACTACGAGCGAAGCTGTACACTTGCGGTCGCGCTTTAAAAATATAGGGAGATTCCTGCAATATCCCATTTTCTGAAACCACATACTCTCTTACTCAAGTCCACAATGAACTGACTCCCATCACTACAGGAAATCTGATAATGGACATCACTGGCCTTCAGAGGAATGCAATCAGACACCTTTTTCGGCAGCTAATCATCCAGTCATCTTTTTCGGCAAGAGGTGCGGGCAACTTTTGCAACTCCAAGCATCAGCCTCACCGCGATGTCCAACTGCCATTAACCTTTGCCCAACAGTCAATAACAACCAGCACCAGCTGCGAGACCTCAAAGTTTCGAGCTCCGTCATCTTGCCAATCTGGTCGTTACTGAGAAGAAAAGAAAAATAAAATAAAATTCGCCGGGCACAATCGAACGGTGGACACAATCGGTCCACCGGACACAAATTTGGTACTGAGAAGAAAAAAAACAAAATAAAATTTGCCGTGCACAATCGGACGGCAGACACAATCGGTCTGCAGGACGGAAATCTGGTCGTTACCGAGAAGAAAATAAAATAAAATTAAATTTGCCGGACACGGACGACGGACACAATCGGTTTGTCGAACACAATCGAGTAGTGACGACCAGACTGGACACTATTAATATTTTTTAAAAAATATTGAAAAATTTCAAAAACAAATTTAGGCAAGATTTCTAAAATTTTCAAAAAAAAATTATTATGTTTAGTAATATATTTAGGCGAAATTTTAGGCTCCGTTTGTTTCGAGTGATTTGAAATCTATTGATTTCAAAACTTTTGAAATATAAATTTTTTTACTTGCACACTCTTTGAATGGATGTGTTCAAAATATTACAAATCAATTGTCTAGCTCGCACCGACTGTGTTGACTCGCGGTGGTGATGAACTTAAATGATCGCGGACGGCGTGGTCGTCAATAGTGAATTTCAAATGACTAGTTTGAGGAGTAATTTAAAATCCTTCAGAATAATAACTAAAAAACATTTAGCATGAATTTGAAATCCTCCAACTTTATTATCATCCAACATGCATGGAGGATTTGAACTTGTAAATTTGAAATTTATAAATTTTAAATCCCTCATTAAATTCTTCAATCCAAACTTAGGTTAGATGTTTTTTGAATTACTATTTTTGAATTATTTAAATTATCTCCTTATATATTAAAAGATATTTTAGATAGTAGAAAATTTCTTTACCAAATTTATTTACTTTTTCTATTCACCTTGTTGTCCCGTAGCCCACGTGTCAATTGAACTAGGGCCTACAAATTTTCCGTGACAGTGTTCCTTCTTCCTCACGAGAACCCCTTTCTCTCTCTCATCCTCAGATTATCTCTCAATAGAGTGGTGAATCTCTGGTGAAACATTTGGTTATATTACCAAATACCAATCACATTTTAGTAACAGATCAACATATCATTTTGTTTGTTTCTCATTTCTCTCTAACTTTGACGTATTACTAATATTTAATAATTATATTATATATATTTTTTTATTTGCTGTAAATTTCTTTTCCTCCATCGGCCGCTGGAGTTTATCGCTGCTCAGATCCGAAATTTTCTCTCCGTCGCTTTTTACATATGGTTTTTCACAAATTTTCCTCTTCTTTTAAAAAATAATTTTTTATTAGAAAGAAATGTTGGGTATCGTTGATTCAAACAATATCAACGATTTACGCAATCGACAGCAGAGAATTTAGGAGCAGCCACTGCTATAGCAAACTTTCACGCTTCAGATTGATTGATCGATTGATTGTGTTTATTGAAGCGCCCCCCCTCCCCTCTCTGTCTCTCTCTCTTTCTCTGAACTCCAGAAAAGAGTTACCTCTATTTCTTCATTTCCTTTTTTACTCTACTTTTTCTCGATTGAATTGGCTATCGTAATTCAATATTTTTTTTTCTGGCAATGTGGGTTGTTACATGACGGAAAGATCTGATTTTGTGATCTAATTGGCGTTCAAATCCGTTTCCATCAACAGTTCAATTAGGTTTCCCAATTTGATCGTAGCTTCAGGAGAAAATCTCGGGTGATCCGTGATAAATCCCGGTCGAATTAAGAAAGTCAATTCAAATAACAGCTTTTCAGCTTGAGGCATACACCTCGCGCAAAAGACATTGTGCCGCGCACAGGAATAACGGCGATTGAGTTTGTCATATCATTAAAATCCCTGAGAATGCTGTTAAATGCTTCAGCTAAATGCTGCATGTATTAGGGAAAAACAAGCTGGTCCTATGCATCAGAAACATCAGGTTCCCTGTTAGGAGAAACAGGTGTCTGAAACTCTCTTTCGGCATGGGCTGCATTTGCTCCAAAGGGGAGAAAGATGAGAACAAGGTCAAGAAAGAGAGAGGCTCCAAAGGATCCTTCAAAAGATCCGTTAGGAAGGAAGATATTGTGGTCGAGGTTGATAACGGAGGCAGTGAAGCTACAACAAGGCTTATATCAACGGATAACGCTGAGAAAAGTGCAGGGTCCACCCCAGCCGTGTGGGAGGAGAGTTATAAGAAGCCAATGGTTAGTGAGAAACCCATTGTTGTGTCTCAAATGGTCGAGAATGGGACTCAAGGGGGGAAGCCTCAGATGTGTCGGGTGTTGAGCATGAGAAATGGGGTTGACGGGTCACAGGTGGTTGCTGGCTGGCCGTCGTGGCTGACCTCAGTGGCCGGGGAAGCTATTAAGGGGTGGATACCTCGGAAAGCGGATTCTTTCGAGAAATTGGATAAGGTGTGGTATTATAGTCCACTTTGTGTGTGTGCATAATTTTACCTGGAGTATGGTTGTCTTTGCTGTATAGGTTGGTCGTTGATTTTCTTTGGGTGGGTGACGTTTTGTTCTTTTTGTTTGCTTTGGATTTAATGATGCTATGTTTTGAAAAGGAAGTATGGTAGAATTTTTGGAATTTTGTTTATGGTGGAGATTTTTGCCGACATAGGTCTTCTAAGGATGGGGAAGGTACAGGCCATTTATGTGAAAATATTTTGTTGTTTTCTTTGCCTTTTAATTGGACAAGTTTCTAGTTTTAGGTTCTCTATTTGCTGTTATTATTGCTAATTTAGGTCCTTCATATGCCTTGTAAAACTCGTTATAACTGTTGTACGATATTATTATATTGACTAGAAACGAGTTGGTTTCCTGGAGGCAATGAATGTTATGTTACTAAATTTTAAATTGATTTTAGCTTCTGAAGCAATTTTATGGAACTTCCAACAAAATATTGACATTTTTCTGAAAAGTTAAATTATTAATTTTCTTGTCGTGAACTGAAATTGAAAATTCTGCAACGCCAATTTCCAGATTGGTCAGGGAACATACAGCAGCGTGTATAGAGCTCGTGACCTTGAAACTGGAAAAATTGTCGCTTTGAAGAAAGTGCGGTTTGTCAACATGGACCCTGAAAGCGTCCGTTTCATGGCCAGGGAAATCCTTATCCTACGCAGGCTCGATCACCCTAATGTCATGAAGCTTGAAGGTCTTGTCACTTCTCGGGTTTCAGGGAATCTTTACCTGGTATTTGAATACATGGAACACGATCTTGCGGGACTTGCGGCTTCACCAGTAGTTCGATTGAATGAATCTCAGGTGTGTTGCTGGTATATTATTCTTATTCCATTTTAGGAATGGATTGCCATATGAAGCTGGCATAAAGTCACAAACGTGGAAACTGTGTAAAATAAGGCATTAATTAATGCCGTAGTCTACTCCTTGGATGTAGTATCTTTTGTATGCAAGTCGTTCATGACTATTTCTTATGTAATGTGCAAGCAGATAAAGTGCTTCATGCAACAGCTGCTTCGTGGACTTGAACACTGTCATAGCCGTGGAGTCCTGCACCGTGATATTAAGGGTTCAAATCTTCTGATTGATGATCATGGAAATCTGAAGATTGGTGATTTTGGGTTGGCCACCTTTTTCCGGGCCAATCAAAAGCAGCCCCTTACTAGTCGTGTTGTAACCTTGTGGTATCGACCTCCCGAGCTTTTACTTGGTGCTACAGATTATGGCGTAGCTGTTGATTTATGGAGCTCCGGTTGCATTCTTGCTGAATTATTTGCAGGGAAACCAATCATGCCCGGAAGAACAGAGGTACATTCTTATTTCATAAGCCTTTTCATTTCTTGAGTTAATTGAATTTGCGACTTCTTGTCTACATACTAAATAGGATGATGCTAAAATCCGACAGGCAGAGCCAGAGAGAATATTATTGCCACATTGTTGTTTTAATTGAAGATAGTATTATTTTCTGTTTGGGATGTGGAAAATGTTTGGGTTTGCTGATGCTTATATTTACCTTTAGCGTTATCTTTCTCCCAGCTGTGATTTCAAGTGTGGCCTATGGGCACATATGTTAGTTTCATTTCATTTTGGTCATATGTTTTCCAGCCTTGTAAATTGTCCATTGCAAATGGAGCTGGAAGAGGCATTGTTGACAATTCTCCTGGCATAGTGCTAATAATGGACTAGATCAAAATGGCTCAATTAAATTCTAGTGCTTCTTCTATTAGTGAAGTTTCTAGAAAAAAAAAAAATATATCAAACGGCGCAATGCACCTTGGGTCGCTACGGAAACAGCCTCCTTGTATAATTACAAGGGTAAGGTCTGCGTACAACTGACCCCCCAGACCCCAACCTGTTGGGAATATACTGGGTATGTTGTTGTTGTTGTTGTTGTTGTTTTCCAGCCTTGTAAAATGGCCATACTATATTCTCTAATATAAGTTATATTAGCAGTTTTTGGTCGTTAGATCACTTCATATGTTAGTGTGATGTAAATGACAATTTGTCTTTGAATTTCACTTCATGCATTCTACAGATAGCTTGTTGTAAATTTTACCGCGAGTTTCTCTTGATATTTCACTTTTTATTTTTTATTTTTTATTTTTTTTATTTTTTATTTTTTTATTTTTGTTTTTTTCTAGCAACTCCAACATTGGCTTTTTTTGTTGTAACCTAATTTATATGCATGCAGGTTGAACAACTTCATAAAATCTTTAAACTTTGTGGTTCACCCTCAGAAGAATACTGGAAAAGATCAAAGCTACTGCATGCTACAATTTTTAAGCCTCAGCATCCGTACAAGAGATGTGTGGCTGAGACATTTAAGGATTTCCCTCCTTCGACTTTATCACTTCTTGAATCACTTCTTGCTTTTGAACCAGAGCTTAGAGGATCAACAACTTCTGCACTTCATAGTGAGGTAACACATTTTTTTCCCTCTTTTCAATTTTCTTCCTCTTAGCAACTCTGACTTTCCCCAGAATGGTTCTCCATTCCAGTCATTTGAAACTTCGATTCTATTGTGTATCTTCAGGTTTGCAGTATCTTGTACGTTATAGTTGTAGTCTGTGTGACAATGCATAGTAGTTTGTTTCCATGATGCAATCTGAACAAAAATTAGATGTAGGGGGGTAAGTAAATACTATCTGCCCTGATTGATCACGTGTGGTCTATGTGGCCTTAGTTTGTCTTTTGGGATCAAAACAATGCTCAATATTGTATATAAGTATGTTGTTAAACGCTAACATCTGTGCTGCAGCCTTATTTGGATAAGGCTTCTGTTTCCCATTTAGAACTTTGTGCTGGAATCTAGAAATCTAGTCTGCATTTTGAACACTTACAGTTATTTCCTTTTATGTTTGCTTATTTTGTTGGTGAAAGCATGAACTATAGCTATATTTTCATTAGTTGTCTATTCACGAGTCATCTCTTTTCAGTTCTTCACAACAAAACCTTTACCTTGCGATCCATCATCTCTGCCAAAATACCCACCTAGCAAAGAGTATGACGTGAGAGCACGAGATGAAGAGGCGAGAAGGTATAATAAATACCATCTGTATTAGACAAATTGTTCGCATGTTTCTGCAGTTTTTTGTCTGAAACAGTTAAATAGATGCTAGTCTCTAACTATAACTCTTAGTTCATAACTTGTAAGTCTGGATGTTTTGTTGTCTATTGTCCTCACTTCAACCACGATCTGTCATAACTCTCAGACAGAGTGCAGCTGGTGGAAAGGGAGGCCGAGTCGAATCATCCAGAAAAGGCTCCAAAGAGTCCAAAGCAGTCCCAGCACCTGATGCTAATGCTGAACTGCCAGCTTCAATACAGGTATATAAATATTCTTCCAGTAAATTTCTGAAATTACCCATCATGCTTGGCAGATAACACAAATATTTAGTGTCAAGTATAATTGATTTTGTACATCTCAACAAACACACCCCTTGAGGATAATAAATTCAAGTGTTTGGATAATAATGAATCGGAAAATGTTAGTAATAACAGTTCTGTTTAATTGAAATGGTAAAAAGTTCAAGGAGGTTGCTGAGATAAGATTACTTTAGAAAAAAAAAAAACAAAAAATGGGGATAACCCTCACAAGTCACATCTCATATTTCAGAAAAGAAAAGGGCAATCGAATCCCAAGAGTAACAGCGAGATGTACAACCGCGAGGAGGACAGTGGTTCAGGCTTCCCAATCGAGCCATCAAGAGGATCTTTACATGATAATAGCCACTCGATGCTCATGGGTCCATCTGGAAATTCACTGGATTCAGTAAACGAGGAGCATCGTCTGAATTCTCATGGGCTGCTCGACTCCTCAGGATACCGAGACCTAAAGACCCAGAGATCTTTCAAACCGCAGGGTACTCGACTGGCTCGGTTCTCCAACTCGGTGGCTGCCCGTGGCAACTCGCAGCTTGATTTCAGCCGTGACCAGCCCAATCATCTGCTGGGAAAAGCAGAGTCCCCGTACAAGAGCAATGGGCAGGTGCCTAATCTCAAGGAGGCTAATGTGGTAAGGAAGTCTGTGATTTTTCCTTCTTTTTTAACCCTTGAGGTTTACCTTGGTTATGGGAGAGAATCTAGTTATCTTTCTAATATACAAACATCACCACGAAGTTTGTTTTGTGGGCGCACGTTGAAAATTTGTAAAATAGAATTATATTTCAAGGGGATTTATGATCATTTTTGTAATTTGGCGAAAGTAGTGGTATGTTCGATCATTGAGGGAATGAATCCCCAGAAACACATGACGTTAAGAGAAGGGAAGCTAACTTTTATCTTAAATTGAGTTTATTTTCTTCCTAAAATTGCAGGGTTATGCTTTCAAGAAGACAAGAATGCACTATTCTGGGCCGTTGCTGCCTCCAGGTGGAAGTGTGGAGGAAATGCTGAAAGAGCACGAAAAACAGATTCAAATAGCTGTCAGAAAAGCTCGTGAGAAGAGTAAGAGCAGGAAAAGCCTGCTCGATAATGGACAGACAGATTCACTCCTAGGGTATGTTAATGGCCGCTGAACTTTGGTGCTGCATCAAAATGTATATGTCCTCTTTTACCCCTGGATTATATGTTCGCGCTTCGAATGAGCGCGAGTTGAAGTATTTCCCCTTTCCATCTGACAAGCAAATAACATCTTACTTCATGTCCGTTGCTGCTACCTTGATTTGGAAAATGAGAAAAATCTGAAAGTGTTCAAATGTAATTTTCTTAGATGCATAGATAAACTATCCAAGAATATGGTGACTATTGGTTGCGAGGTGAGAGAAGGAATTTTTTTTGGGCGTGTAAGGTCGAGAACATGTATGTACAGTATGTTGACTGTAAATCCTTCTTTTATGTGAAGGTCCATAAACTTTTTTTGGTAAACTAGACTCTGAAATTAGAGAGTGCATCCGGGCAAGATGTAACATTGGCAGAATTATCGAAAATATTATTATGTACAGGCTTTTTGCAAGACTTATATATCAGTGTTCAAGTCTGAGAGTGCATTTGTACAACTCAGTTGAACCACATTCAATCCTAATGATATATATCTTGCGGGTGTATAAACCACCTTTTATATCATTACAGACTAAAAAGCATTATAGTCCCTTAGGATAACTAATAGAAAGCATGAATTCTGTTGGCTTTTGGTGCTCTGGTTAATTGTTGGTTCAAACAAAGGGGGATGTGTTCTAAAGTATTTTTATTCANTGTTCTCTAACCTCTATCAACATCAAAATGTAATCCAAATTGCATATGATCACATATAACATCCAACACCCCAAAAGATATCCATATGTACACCAAACTTGGTTGACCCACCAACAAACCATTTTGCTTCAACCCAAATCTTCTCTAGTTCACAAGTCTTCATCATCACTCTAGGAAGACAAAAACCCACCCATAACTTAACCTCAAAGCCTCACAAACCTCCAAGCCCCCTTTTCATATTTCTCCACACACCACACACATCACAACCCCAACACTCTTCCTTCCATAGTTAAGGAAATAGAACATGAGGCCAAAAACACAAATCCCCTCTAACCTCAAGCTCCTCTTCATCCTTGTCATCCTCTCCCTCTTCCTACTCTTCATTCTAAGATCAAATTTATCACCTTCCTCCGACCAAATCGATTCGACCCCGACAATCCAACCCACCCTATCCTTCCCGAGAAAATCCTCGGCCTCATGCAACAAAATCCCAACTTCTTTGGCCCAAGCCATCATCCACTACTCGACCTCGGCCATAACCCCCCAACAAACACTCGACGAAATCTCCGTCACTTCCAGAATCCTCGAGCGAAAGTCCCCGTGCAACTTCCTCGTGTTCGGGCTCGGGCACGACAGTCTGATGTGGCACTCGCTCAACCACGGCGGGCGAACGCTATTCTTGGAGGAGGACGAGTCGTGGGTCGAGCAAGTCCGGAGGAGGTTCCCGACGCTCGAGACGCGCCACGTGGCGTACGAGAGTCGGGTGAGCGAGGCGGACGGGCTGATGCAGGCAGGCCACGGGCCCGAGTGCGCGGCGGTGTCGGACCCTCGGTACTCGATGTGCCAGCTGGCGCTGAGGGGATTGCCGGGAGAGGTTTACGAGACGGAGTGGGACGTGATAATGGTGGACGCGCCGACGGGGTACTACGAGGAGGCGCCAGGGAGGATGGGAGCCATCTACACGGCAGGGATGATGGCGAGGAACTACCAGCCGAGGGGGGGAAGTGGGACCCACGTGCTGGTGCACGACGTGAACCGAGAAGTAGAGGATAGGTTCTCCAAGGAGTTTTTGTGCGAGGGTTACATGAGGAGGGAGGAGGGAAGGCTGAGGCACTTTGTGGTGCCAAGCCATAGGGATGATTTGGGCAAGCCTTTTTGTCCATGAGCCGAGTTAGGGGAAATTTGTGAGGTCAAATATGGATTGCTGTTTTTTTGTATTGCATTAAGNATTACAATTGAACTGAAAATTAAATTAAAAATTAAAACGGAAAGATTAAAGCCGAGGCGAGTAAAACTCTTTCCGCAAGAAGAATACGCCCCGTGTGGCTGCTAACGGTTCAGGCGTAACTTCCCCAAAGATACAACGGCAAACGTCTCTAAATCTGTAGCACACCAGATTTACGAGCTCCGGCGAACTAGATCGAAGTCGAGAATTGAGCACTTAAAAAAATAGAAATAAAATTATCTATATGATAATTTTTCTATATTTTTTTTTCTCACTATTTTTTTTTTCTTCCCTCTCTTTCCTTTCTTTCTTCTTTTCCCTTCACTTCTCTTCTTTGGTACATTTTCTCTTCTTGCAACACACACATATATATAGCAAGATGATGCCTCAAATTTGGTGTTGGAAAGTAAGAAAATTAGGAAACTTGGTTGGAAAAAATGTAATTTGGTGTGAAGGTTTGAAAAAGTTGGATTTTGGTTATATTGGTTGGAATTAATTGTACACTCACTTGTCAATTTGACTAACAATCCCCCACATGAGTGTAAATTAAATATATACATACTATTGTGCTCAATCCTCGCAAAACTCTATTGCATCAGAAAAGGTAGCTTTGGGCTTTGAACCTCTCATAGTAAACATCATCGGATGCACTGGCGGACTAGTGGACACGATGCCTTGAACTATTCCTCCGTAGTGTACACCTAGACAATGACATTTACACAATAGAGTTTTCACTCCATTCCGTTCTATCGTTGTGTCCGTTTTGGCCATGGACAACACAATGAATTCATAAATGTTTACATTTGAAGCGGCCCACACTTCACACTTATATAGGTGACCTCCCTATCAAGAGTATCTTGCTATACTCCACCTTTACAAGGTTAGGGATTCATTAAAAGTCCTCATGACTTACCCTCACCACAATCAACAGGTCATCTTGCACTTGGAGTGCTCTAGGGAATGGCTCTGGACATTCATATGTTCCAAGTGCTCAACTGAATTTTCATAGCTTAGTTTTCCCTTTGAACCAAGTTCGTGGGATCTCCACTCAGCATGGTGGGGTTACCACTATGATCATTCTTTACATTGTGGATTTTTAAGCCCATTCCCTCTAGCAGAACTACCAATTGATCTCTATTTAATCCTTTCGTCAAAGGATCAGCCAAATTTTCCTTAGACTTCACATAGTCAATAGAAATAACACCATTTGAGATCAATTGGCGTACGGTATTATGTCTACGACGAATATGTCTAGACTTACCATTATACAAGTTGCTTTGCGCCCTACCTATAGCAGCTTGGCTATCACAGTGAATCATCACAGGCGGCAAAGTCTTATTCCAACATGGAATATCAGATAAAAAATTTCTAAGCCACTCGGCTTCTTCGCCAGCTTTATCTAAAGCGATGAACTCCGATTCCATCGTTGACCGAGCTATACACGTTTGTTTTGTGGATTTCCATGAAACTGCACCTCCTCCAATACAGAATACATATCCGCTAGTGGAGCGAGAATCTCTCGAATCTGATATCCAGCTTGCATCGCAGTACCCTTCAAGTACGGCTGGATATCTCGAGTATTTTAGCCCGTATTCAAGGGTGTACCTCAAGTACTTAAGTACCCTTCTCAAAGCATTCCAGTGTTCATGACTAGGATTGCTCGTAAATCTGCTCAACTTATTCACCGGGTAGGCTAAGTCTGGTCGTGTACAATTCGTCAAGTACATCAAACTCCCTATTACCCGTGAATATTCTAACTGAGCCACTGGTTGACCTTTATTGGTTACCAAATTTATACTAAGATCAATGGGTGTCTTACACCTAGACTGTGCACCGTCATAGGTATCAAATTTCTTGAGCACTTTCTCTACATAATGAGATTGTGACAAGACAATTCCATCTTGGGTTCTGATAATCCTTATTCCAAGAATAACATCAGCCAAACCCATATCTTTCATGTCGAAATTTCTTTTCAACATTCTTTTCGTATCCATGATCACTTCATGGCTACTCCCCATGATCAACATATCGTCTACATATAGACATACAATCACAAATGCATTTGATGTACTCTTGACATAAACACATTTGTCACATTCGTTGATTTTGAAATCATTTGACAACATCACGTCATCAAATTTCAAATGCCATTGTTTCGGAGCTTGTTTCAGTCCGTACAAGGATTTGATCAATCTACACACCTTTCTCTCTTGTCCAGGTGCAACAAACCCTTCAGGTTGTTCCATGTATATTTCTTCTTCCAATTCACCATTTAAAAATGCCGTCTTGACATCCATTTGGTGAATCTCAAGATTGTGCAAAGCAGCAATCGAGAGAAGCACTCTTATCGACGCTAAACGCGTAACTGGTGAATAGGTATCAAAGAAATCATACCCTTCTTTTTGTTTAAAGCCTTTGACCACCAAACGTGCTTTAAACTTATCAATCGATCCATCAGCTTTATATTTCTTCTTTAGGATCCACTTGCATCCTAAAGGTTTACAACCATCAGGGAGATCAACCAACTCCCAAGTATGGTTCTGCATAATGGACTCGATTTCGCTATTTACAGCTTCTTCCCAGAGTGGTCCATCTGGGCTGGACAGAGCTTCCTTAAGGGAACTCGGTTCATCGTCCAACATATACGTAATAAAATCAGGTCCAAACGTTTTCGCCGTTTTTAACCTTTTACTACGTCTCGGTTCTTCATCAGTACCCTCTGGTACAGAACCACTAGCAGTTTCATATGTTCGTTTATTAGAACTAGATTCTGCTCTTTCCTTCAGAGGAAAAATATTCTCGAAGAATATAGCATTCCTCGACTCAATCGTGGTACCAACAGATACCTCTGGATTTTCTGATTTATGAACCAGAAATCTATATGCTGTACTATTGTACGCATATCCAATAAATACACAATCGACCGTCTTTGGCCCGATTCTCATTTGTTTGGGTTCCGGTACTGAAACCTTAGCCAAACATCCCCACACTTTCAGGTATTTATAAGACGGCTTACGATTTTTCCACATTTCGTAAGGAGTCTCATCTTTCCCTTTAGGTGGTATTTTATTCAAGATATGATTTGCTGTTAAAACAGCTTCTCCCCACATGTTCTGTTGTAATCCTGAATTTAACAACATGGCATTCATCATTTCTTTTAATGTACGGTTCTTGCGTTCAGCAACACCGTTCGACTGTGGAGAATAAGGGGCTGTCGTTTGATGAATTATGCCATATTCAGAACATATTTGTTCAAAAGGAGCTACATACTCCCCACCCCTATCACTTCGGATTATTTTAATCCTTTTGCCGAGTTGATTTTCAACTTCGTTCTTATAGATTTTAAATGCTTCCACAGCCTCGTCTTTGCTTCTTAATAAATATAAGTAGCAAAACCTTGTGCAATCATCGATAAAAGTAATAAAATACTTTTTACCCGTTCTTGTTTTCACACTTTTCATATCACATACATCAGTATGGATTAAACCTAATGGTTCAGTACTCCTTTCCACCGAGTGAAAAGGCAACTTAGCCATTTTTGCTTCAATACAAATTTCACATTTTTTATGTGATTCAATTTTAGAATTAGGAATTAATTCTAAATTCATCAACCGTTTAATTGCATTTCGATTTACATGTCCCAATCTAATATGCCATAAATCAGAGCACTCAATGGTATAAACAGAAATAGGCTTTTCATTATCATTTAAAACGGTTACACGGCTCACGGCCATTACATTCATTTTAAACATACCCTTGTCGAGATAGCCACGACCAAGAAAAGTTCCAAACTTGCTAAGAAC